TACAAACAACAGAATATCATTCAGCTTCAAAAGGAAGGCAATTCTGCCACATGCTACAATATGGATGAACCTTGAGGACATTATACTAAGTGAAACAAGCTAGTAACAAAAAGACAAGTATTGTATGATTCTATTTATATGAGGTATCTTAAGGAGTCAAATTCATAGAGACACAAGGTAGAATCATGTTTGCCGGGGCTGGGGGAATGGGTTTCAATTTTGCAAGATGAAAAGAGTTCTGGAGATGGATGGTGGGGGTGTTTGTACAACAATGTGAATGTACTTAATACCATTGAACTGTACACTTAAAAATTGGTAAGGTGGTAAATTTTATGTGTATTTTACCACAATTATTATTATTTTTTTTTAAAAAGAGTTGGCCTACATGGATTTCACCTCCCAATGGCCAAAGCATCAATTCACTCCAGCCCACGTGGATGAGTAGAATTTCCCTCAGCAACCCTGTAACCTTACGCTGTCAGTCACTCAGCACGCGTCCTATTTTTATGTCTTTATTTCCATTATCTTTTAACCAAACCTTATTAACAAGACAAAAAATACGCAGTAGCTCCATTAGCTGCTAATTTCTTGAATGCCAACATCAAAGACACAATGTTCAAAGGCACAGACATCTGGGACATTCTACAGTGAGCCAGAGGATACCTCTATGCAGGCTCTAGCAGCCACCCAACCATGGGTCCTCCAAGGCAGAGAATTAGAACTAGGCCCTAAGAGGTACTCTGACCCCATACACCAAGAAGTCAGGCTGAAAACAAGAAACTGCAGAGTTTTGGCTTCCACCCCATCACACAACTGCTTCTTCCCCTCCCATTCAACCGACCAACCAGGCATGCTGGTGAAGGCAGACGCTGGCCTCCAACGACAATCAGCAGTGGCCTTGAACCACAGCGTGAGGGACTGTTTTCTGTCTCTAGTACGGGCCTGTTTTGCCTGATGGGGATTTTCGTTCAGAACCACTATCTCCTTTCCCACATATGGAATGAAAAGCAAAGCAGTTACCCAGGTTTCTGCTCCCCACGCCTCCCATCCTTGACTCCCCCTAACAATGGCCTCTCCCTGAAAAATCCTCCACACCTTCAGGGACCAGCCCTGCTCTCAGCTTGCCCGTCACAGCAGATCCTACTGCCTGCTGTCCCCCAACCTCCATCCCCCCCATTCTTCCACAGCAGGCTTCCTCACCCTGTCTCAGCACTATGAACATTTCTGGTTGGATCATTCTGTGCGGTGGGGCTGTCCTGTACATTGCAGGATGAGTGGCAGCGTCCCTGGTCTCCACCCACCAGATGCCAGTAGCAACTCCATCCATCAAACCCAAAATGCTTGCCAGCAATGACAGATGTCCTGAGAAGCAAAACTGTCCCTGGTTTAGAACCACTGTCATAGTACAGGAGCTTTAGGTAAGCCCATGGCCACCCAGCGTGGTTCACAGCCAGACTGACTCCCTAGTCTGACGAAAGAGCAACACAGCCGCGAGTCTCCTCCCCAGCACAGGTCAGATCAGGTTAGCCCTTACTTGACACCATGCCCTCACCATGCCACTCTTTACCTAGACTACTTCACTCCCCTGCAGGGTTTACTCCTGCATCTTGTTTTGGGTTGAACTGTGCCCACTACTCCCCCCACAAAAGATATATTGACACCTTAACACCCAGTATCTCTGAATGTGACCTTATTTGGCAACAAGGTCATGGCAGAGGTGATTTTTAAGATGAGGTCATAGTGGAGCAGGGTGGGCCCCTAATCCAATATGACTGGTGTCCTTATGAAAAAAGACACAGACACACAGAACACCTGTGATGACGGAGGCAGAGAAGGGACTGATGCAGCTTCAAGCCAACCAGCAGCCAGAGAGAGGCAGGAAGGGTTCCTGCAGGTCTCCCCAGGAGCGCGGCCCTGCCAGCACCTGGATTTTCCACTTCTAGCTCCCAGGCTGTGAGAACATAAAGTTCTGAGTTTTAAGCTACCTACCCCGTGGTGTTTTGTCCCAGCAGCCCTGGGAAGCGAATCCACCCAAATTCTTATCTCAAGCTCTGCTTCAAGGAAACCCAGCCACAGACAACTGGCCTTTCCACCCAGGAGCACAATTGCTGAGCAAACTTGAGATGGGAAACAGGAGTCCCTGCTTCCCCCAGAGTTCCCATGAGCCTTTCTTTGTGCGAGAAGGAAGAAAAGGCAGGCGGGAGAAAGGAAGGAAGGAAGAGACAGAGCGGCGTGAAGGGGTGAGAGAGAGGGAAGGAGGGAGAAGGAAGGAAAATTCATTCTGGGGAACCCTTGCTTCCTTCCATCCTTCGTTCACCCAACAAACAGCACTGAGCACAACCACATGCCAGGCGAGCTCTAGGTGCAGGGGATAGAGAAAGGAACAAAGCAGACAGCTCTGCCCTCGTGGGGTTTACCCTCAAGCACGGCAGACACACCCTAAATGTATGGTCTATGGGATGATAAGTGCCCATGGGGAAAACAAAGCAGGGGAGGGCGAAAGCTGTACCCAAGGTGGGTGCAGCCACATAAACAGGGTGATGCAGCGGACACGGCCTCTGGTGTCAGCTACAGATGCTCCCGTAATCCTGCTGGACGTGGCCTCAGCTCAGGCAGATAGCGGCACACCTGGCCTTTCTCTTTTCTGTCCCAGCCCTTCTGTGAGCTTTGGGGAGCCCCCCTGGCCAGTGTGCGAGGGCGGAGTCCACGCTCCGCGGGGAGACTGAAAGTCCACCCCACCCTGTTGCCAGAATGGAGACTTTAAGAACCACCAGTAATGACGTTCCCTCCTTCCTCTTACCTTCTCACCCTCACTCCTGCTTCCTGGGATCTCCTCCTAAATAAACCTGCACCCAGGTCCCTGCCTTGGCCTCAGCACTCAGGAGAGCCAAACTAGGGCAGATGTGCCCAGAGGGCTTTGCTGAAAAGGTGGTATTTCAGCCAAGACCTAAATGAGGCAAGATGTGGGCGTGTCCAGGTTCTCCACATCTCCAGTACCTTCCACTGAAGTGAACAGTGGAGCTTGGCCATAAAGACATTATTTTGTTGAGTGGGTCTCCCTCTTTCAAATGTAACTTTCTTGACAGTTGAACACCCAGTGATATCAAATACTGAGGAGGATACATGGAAAGCACCCACTATATTCTGGTCACGTGACAGGAAGGATTTGGGATCATAGCAGACACGGTCCACACCTTGCCTACCATCTCTTGGCCATGACCCCTGTGGTGCACATGGGCCTGCGTCTAGCCGCCAGCAAATGCGCTCTTCTGCATTTGTGGATGTCAAAGGTCTCTTTATCCAACAGAAATGCCAGGGAATAAACCTCCCCGTCCCCTAACAGTCTTCATCTAATGGCTGATAGTAGTTGGTGCATAAAAATCCCAGCTCCTGCCCTGGCCAGGTGGCTCAGTTGGTTAGACGTTGTCCCATATACCAAAAGGTTGCGGGTTCCGTCCCTGCTCAGGGCATGTACAGGAGGCAACTGATTAATGTTTCTCTCTCACATCGATGTTTCTGTTTCTCTCTCTCTCTTTCTAAAGTTAATAAAACATATCCTCAGGTGAGAAGTAAAAAAAAAAATTATACTTCTCTTTAAAAAAATAAAACCCCCAGCTCCTTCACCCCTCATGTGGAAAGACTCTTAGGTGTGTCTGATGCTGGCTCCCAGTTTGCCCAGCGGGTTTCAACTCCAGTCACCCACAGCGCTACTATCCCCAAAATGCATCCTTAAGTGACTTTCCCACTTCTTCCTGGTGTTTCCTCCAGTGCCACATCCCTAATCAATGACTTCCCTTGCCTCAGGGTCTTCTTTTTGGGGAATCCAAACTAAGAGATGGACAAATCTCCTATCTTTGAAGATGTGTGCAGACACCTACATTCTGACAGGGGGGCAGCCCCTCCAGTCCTCATATTTAAAATCTGTACCCCAAATGTGGTGCTGGATCATTAAATCACTGGCCAGTGGAGCTCAGCTTTGAGAAGCACCTTGGTGTGTTTGATGCAAAATATCCCGCCTACCTACATTATACAGGATTATTGTCTGCAGCACAGGTGGGCTGGATAAGCCTCCACTGGCTAGAGCTTTTCCTTCCTTTGGGCTCCCACCACATTTTGCACCCACAGTGGGTGCACTATCATCCTCCAGCCCATAGAATGCCCAAGGGAAGGACTCTAACAGCCACTGGGGACAGAACCTGGTAGCTTCTCAAGCACACAATTGCATGTCCCTGAGCTGGAATCCCACAATTTGCCTGGAAAACATCCATCATCTCGTTTTTCAGCCCTCATTTTATTTTTCCCAAATCAATTTCTGAAAGTCAAAATGACTGATAGCTTCATACCCAGGATAATCATTCTCCCTATTAAATAACCCAGCATCTGACTGAAAAGCTCCCAGGTGGTGGTGGTTACATGAATCTGTATATGTGATACAATTTCATAGAAGTACATACACACACACACACACACACACACACACACACACACACACAGCAGTGCATGTAAAAACTGGTAAACGCTGAGTAAGGTCTGTAGTTTAGTTGCCAACATCAATTTCCCAATGCTATGAATGTACTCTGGTTGTGTAAGATTTATGATGGGGGTTGCTGGATGAAGGGTACACAGGAACTCTCTGTTCTGTGTTTGCAACTTGTAAGTAGAAAATTATTTCAGAATAACAAGTTTTACAATCACAATGCAATTTTTTAAAATAATAAAGTAAGACTCCTCATTTAAGCCCTGGTCGGGTGGTTCAGTTGGTTGGAGCGCTGGTACACCAAAAGGTTGCAGGTTCGATTCCCGGTCAGGGCACATACCTAGGCTGTGGGTCCCATCCCCAGTTGGGGCGCCCACGGGAAGCAACCGATTGATGTTTCTCTCTCACATCGATGTTTCTCTCTTCCCCTTCCTCTCTCTCTTAAAAAAAAGAATCAATTAAAAAATCCCCGTTTAAAGAAATAAAAAGCTCCCGGAAGAAGACACCGCAAACCCACTCTTACCTGGGTACTGGGAATCAGCGCCTTCCACCAGTGCCCGCCTTTCACCAGGTCGACCTCGCAAAGAGGCACGGACACCTTCCCAATGACACAGTGGCGTGAGAACTTATCGAAATCCACCACGGTGAGGAGCAGGGTCCTCCTCTGTGCTTCTAGGAAGGGGATCTCGAAGGTGTAGCGCTCCTCGAACACGGGCTTCTGGGTCTTGCGCTTGACCCCCGTCTGCTTAGAGTTCTTCTGGTCTGGCAGGAGGCAGATCTTGACGTAGGGGTTGGAGTGCGCCATGTCCTGGCGCGAGCCGTCGTGGGAGATGGGCGGGGGCAGGTCCCGGGCCTCGATCACCCGCACCATCAGGTGGTTGTGCAGCAGGTCGTACTGGGTGCTGAAGTGCAGCATGCCCAGCTGGTACTTGGACAAGATCTCCTCATCCGTCAGAAAGTCCACATCGTCGCTGTTGGAGTCGAGGGAGTACAGCCGGGGCTCGAACTTTCTGAAATAGTCGTCTGGGGTATAGGTCCGTCTGAGCACCGAGGGCTGGATGGGCTCCTTCTTGGCGCTGAGGACGCCAAACTCAATGGGTTTAATATCGATGAGCGGGGAGCTGGGTCGTCTGGACTCGAGACCTAAACAGTTGCCAGAAATAACAATGAACACCACCACACAGGGGACTGGACCTGGGCCACTTGGTGAGAGGGGCAGCATTTCCCAGCTTCTCACATTGTCCATGCTGCTCCATAACGCTCTTGGCCACATGCTCTCCACACCTGAAGGCCCCTTATTTATTCTGAGAGGCAGCACGGTGGCAGCATCAGCTCATCACCACAATCACCCAGCTAAGCGCCAGGCACTGTTCTAAATGCACTGCATATATCAGGTCATCTAACCTTCGCAGAGTATCAGCTAATGACTAGCACTCCCCCCCCAGCCATTTTACAGATGAAGAAACTTGAGGTAACTCGCCAAAGGTCACACAACTAGTAAGACTTGACCAATAGCCTGCCTCCACTTTCAGAGTGGACTCTGGGCCAGGAGTGCTTGGGTCAGATTCCAACTCAGCTACTTACTTGTGCCTCACTAGTAATGAGCCATGGGACTCCGGGCACATTTTTTAGACTCTCTGGGACTCGATTTCCCCATCTGTGAAAAGGAGCTAACAACGGCACTTACCTCAAAGTACCTATTGTACTTCTTCAAGGATCCTATTCAGGGAGTCTTCGGGCTTTACCTCCCCCACTCTTCCCCACCCAAATGATTCCATCTGATCAAACACACATGGTATACACCAGAGGGGAAAAACTGGGGGGCCTGTGGGCCAAATTCAACCCATAAATACATTTTGTTTGGGTTTAAAAGTAAGAAAGTTTCATATGAAAATCCAGATAGTCAGTTTCTCTTGAGAAAAATCAGGCAATACTGGGCCCACAATCCCACATGGCTACAGTTGAGTAGCAGCTGTCCCTTTCAATGGGGCATTAGCTTCCTAATTGGCCACAGTCCCCACCCTGCCCCAGCACCTCTTGAGGCTGAGAGTCTGCTGCCATTTGTCACTGCATTCGGGTGATATTTATCTCTATCCAACCCTCTGTACTCACTCCCTGACACAACCCACCTGGACTCTGGAGTCACTAGAATTTGCAAGTCCTGCTGGATAACATGGTAACACTCGCCTTTTGGGGTCTGAAATGATATGTACTGACAATGTCAATCAACTGAGCCAATTCAATGAAAAGTGATCAGTCAAAACAAAAATCAGTCAAAATGATCGCTTCTGACTGAACTCAGCAGAAATCAGGTGCAATGCACTTCTGTCACATTGTCATTCTCTCTCCGTCATCCTGTCTCCTGACTGCCTTCCCACTCTGTCCCCTCCCCAGGGACAACCTTGGTCTTCACATCTTTCCTTGGGGGTGCTGCTGAGTGTCTGGGAAAGCCAGCTCTTTTCCTCTGTCCTGGGGCCCAGCTAGTGGGATTTTAGTTCATGGACTCTGAAGGGCGGAGGAACAGCACAAGACGCTTGAGTAGAGATGCTTACTTGAAATCCTCCGGGTCAGGCTGTACGTAGACTTAGATGTGTCCGAGGACGAGCATCTTCGATCTGGCGAGTTGGTACGTGGGGTCAGCGGGACGTCGCTGGCCGTGTGGACAGAGTCCCCATCCTTGTCACTGCTCCTGCTGGCCATCCTATGGGAGGGAAGAGGTCTCGATGGTTGTCAAAGAATCCCCAGGGACTGGCATCTCCATCTCTTGAAGAACAGACCCATGAGGAAATAGCTCTCCTGCTCAGTTTACCCAACTTGGGATAATGCAAATCTGAAATGGTATGGGAGCCCTAAGTCCTCAATGTCTTGCTTTTTGCACAAAATGTGAAATGATATGAATGAATATTTCCCAATTTAGAACAATCAGTCAAAGCTGGGCTGCAGGGAGGGATACAGAAACTTATTCAGGATATGGCCACAGGAGGGAGGGGGTGCCACTTTGACGAGTCAAGAGGAGACCTGTCAATCTTCAGTCTGGAAGGAACCATGTGGCTGTTTTTGTGCATCCCAACTTTTGCAAGTGGCTCTTGGTGAGAAATGCCCTGTTATTTCAACAGTCACTGTGTCTATAATTTAACATCTTTTAAAAATATTCCATAACGACATCACTTAAGGGTTCTTTGAGTGGCAGGGCTACAGCTACAAAATGGCCCTGAGAATCAATGACTGAAGAGCAATAGTTCGATGTAAAGCAGCAGCTGTGAATTAGCAGCAGGCACGATTCAATGTGCTCCCAATGAATAAATGAAAAGTCCTGGGTCGGAGGGTGGAGAGATACAGAGTAGTAATTAAAGAGCACAACCTCTCGGTTTGAACCCTGGCTGGGTAATGCTGGGCAACTCCTTTCCCCTCTCTGTGCCTCCATATCCTCATCTGTAAAATAGGAATAGTAATAGTGCCCATCTTGCATGGTTGCTGTGAACACTGAATGAGTTCACACATATAAAGTGCTTAAAACAGTGCTTGGTATGTCATAGGTACATGCTCAACACATTTCAGCTACTATCACTGCAACAGGGCTGGCTTTAAGATTCCCCCCAATATTCATAAGGCTACTAGGCTAGGATGCCGGGGGGAGGGAAAAGGAGGGGACCAAAGCTGGCAAAGTGGCTGTGAGATGGATGCCGCTAATAACATGCCCCAAGCTATCACCGCTGTGGATTGATACGTTCTGAGGCTGCATCCCCCCAGCTTGACATTTAAGCCTGCAGGGAAACTAGTCCTGAAAAATGCAAGTTTCGAATTCTCTGAGGTCTTCCAATGCATCCTGTGCATGAAATGAGATGGATCTGATGTTCTGCCAAAGTGATATAAGGGTCACAGTGAGGACAAGACCGGCGGTGTTATAAGGGGTTGGGGAGAAACGCACAGTCCTTGTCTGCCTCCTGCTCCCAGTCTCTAGAAGGTGAACATAGCAGATGAAATGCTGGGGGTAGAAAGTAGGGGAGGTCACAAAAATGAGATCACATTGTACCAATCATTCTTCTTGCTTTCCCTTAAATGAAATCTGTAGCATCTTCCAAGGAAGGTGCCACTGGGGAACCTCCACTTGCACAGCCACTTTCCCGGCTGTCACACCCCTGTGGCAGTCACCTCCACCTGTGAAGTCCCATCCACCCTTCAAGGATCAGCTTAAACGCCATCGACCCCCGGAGCCTTTACTGAGTCCTCTCAGACTCAGTGCTAGTGTATGCCTGAGCCACCCCGACTCCTCTGCAACCACCAGGCCTCCCTGCCCTGCCTCCAACACACAGAGCCAAGCTGTTCCCTCTGCCCGGAATGCTCTTCCAGTCCCCATCACCTGTTTGGTTCCCTATCATCATTCAGGTCTCAGCTTCAATAGCATCTCCTCAGAAAGGCCCCACCCTGTCCCTTTTTGATACTGCACGTAACTCATCTTTAGTTGTGGCTTGCTTGCTTTTCTTCTGCATCTGACACCAAGTGGCAGCTCCATATGGACAGCGACAAGTATCTGCAGACCTTGTCTTTGTGCCAGGCACATCTGGGGTGTCCCACATTTATTTTCTCAGTGAATGAATGAACACACCCTTCCTGCGGTTCTTATCCCATTTATCTTGTGTCACAATGGTCTGAGTGCATCTCTTGTCACCCCTCCTAAACCAAGGTACACTTCTAAGTGGTGAGATATGTACCTGCTATGATCAAAGGTCCCAGGTGCTGAGTGCCTACTATGTGCTGGGCACTGGGCTAAATGCTCTGTATGAACCATCTCACTTCACCCTTAAAACAATATGGGAGTTAGTTGTTATTAATAACCCTGCTCCCTTTACAGGTGGGGAAAAGGAAGCCCTGGGGTAGGGTGGAGAGAGGAATGGGTAATTAATTGGCACCACTGTTAAATGACAGAACACCAACTGAGTCAAGCAACACCAGACTCCAGATCACAGCTCCACACTTCTGAGCTGGGCATCCTCTGCAAGGCCTGTAGAGCTTTGTACACAGTACGTACTAAACACATGCTTGTTGGACAGATAACCTGACTCTAATTCCCTCTTCAATGAGGGGCTTTCTCGCACTGCCCCAAAAGCAGCCAGCTGGACTATACTGTGTTCCTGAGGCCAGCCCAGCCAAGAAAAGCTGGGGATCCATGTGACAGAGGTACATGTGACAATTAATGGTATGTCCCCCACACAAAGGGCCAGCTCATCTGCCACCCCTGTGGTTGTAGGCTCAAATGTCACAGCAGGAGCAGCAATGCAAAGCCTGTGCACTCGACATTTCTACTCCCTGCCTGTTTGATAACATGAACTGCCCACTTGGTAAATAAAGCTGGGGAAAGCACAAGCTGTAAACTCGCTTTATGAATGATTTAACCCGCTTCCCTTTACAGATTTCTCTTAACGTTTTGCACTGTCTTGCATGACAAAAACACACTAAGTGATACCCAGGATTCAAGGAAGACCTGGCTCATCCTGGGGAGGATGAAGGTCATGTATAGCTGTTTAGGCTGTAGAGTGACTGCACAACTCTAGGTGGTCCCATTTCACAATAACCACCCAGTGAATGGCACCTCCTGAGGTTGTGTGGTATGTTGGCTCTGCGGGGAAGTTTCCAGCCTACTTCTCTGCTTGTGGCAAAACCAAAAGAACTGTCTCCCCACAGGGTCCCACCCCTTGCCCTCAGAAAGAGTCCTCTGCTTGCACAAAGGGTCAGCAGCCTGGTCAAAGTGCAACTATCATCCAACTCAGTGGCCATGCATCTGTAACACTCCATCTGGGTATCTGGGGGCAAAGAGAAACCTGACTGTGATTTTCAATGTCCATCAGGGTCTCCACTGGTTCAAAAGAAAATCCAAATTCCTTAATCTGGCATTCAAGACCCTACACAATCTGAGCATGCAGGCACATTTTCTACGATCCCCAAAACTCTTTAGAGATGTGGTATCCATTTGTCGTGTTTGTCTGCCCTGGATCCAGTTCCAGCACCCACAACAGTCTATTACAAAGGTCAGCAAACTACAGGGCAAATCCACAGCCTGATTTTGTAAATGAAGTGTTACTGGAACACAGCCACACCCATTCATTAATGTATTGACCATGGTTGCTTCTGCACTGCAATAATAGAATTGACTAGTAACAGAGACTAAGCCCATGAGACTGAAATATTTACTATCTGGCCCTTTACAAGAAAAGTGTGCCAACCCCTGTTGTACTAGCTTAGTACATGTGTTTCAGGTGGGAATGACCCTTTCCCTGGTTCCAGGATGGTCAGGCAACCTAGGCATAATCCTAGCACCATTTCCTCCAAGGAAAAGTGACTGGATCAGGTGACTGGCACACTTACACCAAGCCAGGGCAATGAGAGCCTTTCCTGGTGTTTTTGCTGCAGTTAATAATGAGGCAAAGATGAAAGCAAGCTTAAGGAGAGGCCAAAACAAAAGAAACAAAGAAAAAGAGAAAACACGCACATGCACACCAATGACATCATTTAAGCCTCTGGATCCAGCTATGCCTGAAGCCATTATCCCTGGATTTTTCCAATAAAAATTCAATGCAGGGATGTCATATGGGTGTGCAGGGTGTGAATGCACAACTCTAGGGGGTGACTGGACTTATGTACTCGCCTTATCTCCTATACTAGATTTTGTTTTGTTTTGTTTTTAATCTTCGCCCAAGAGGAAGCAAGAGAGGGAGAGGGAGAGAGGGGGAGAAAGAGAGATATTGATCAGTTGCCTCCCGTACACACCCCGACCGGGGATCGAACCCAAAACCTAGGTATGTGCCCTGACCAGAAATCGAACCCGCAATCTTTTTGGTGTACGGGACGATGCTCCAACCAACTGAGCCACCCGGCTAGGGCTCCTATACTAGATTTTAAATCCCCTGAGCACAGTAACAGGCCTCTCAAGCCTGTGTACCCCACCGTGCCTGCAGGGCGTACTCAAGAAATAACTACCAAAGAAACTGAGACGAACTTTTCAATTGGATGACTGGCATTTTCGGGATTCAGTTTCTGATTACTCAGTTGGCCAACAACTGTTTTTTGGAGTAAGACAGATAAAAACTCTGCCCTCACAGAGCTGACATTCCTTAAATAAAAGACACCAAATGGGATAAGCCAAACTCTGTCCCTTAGGACACTGGAAAATGGGGCTGAGCTCTTGATTAATGAGTTGATTTCACCAAACATTTTAACTCTACACACACCTGCAGGACTCAGGCTACAACCTATGAATAATGGAAGAGTGCCTTAACATTGCCTTTACATAAATTTAAAGAATCCCTATCAATACTTAATAATGACAGAAATGAATACTTACTACTGTAATAAGCATGGTACGTGCATATCTCATTACTCTTAATAACAGCCCTATAAGATAAGTCCTATCACTGTCCCCATTTTATGGATCAGGAAACCAAGACAAAAACAGGGTAAAAAGACCCTCATCTAGGATTGCCAACCCGGTGTCTAGCATTCTTAAGCTCTTTTCCATATATTAATTCATGCAATCGCCACAACCACCCTATGAGATAAAGACTATTATTTCTATCATCCCCATTTTACAGATGGGAAAATCAAGGCACCGAAAGATCAAGCAACTTGCTCAAGGTCACAGAACTAGAAAAAAGCAAAAGAAATATGATATCAACTCACAGAGCCTGACACAGAACCATTTTGTTATGGATATATTAGATATTTGTCTCTAAGAAGAGAAAACAAGAGAAAGGACTGAAGCATGACCCTGGGATACGGAGGTAAAGATAGGGCACCAGAGGCTTCTGGAATCTCAGCCCAAGGATTTGGCTGAGACAGTCCTGGGTCCCCAGTAAGGCTCCGGCTGCAGGCCCATGCACTGTCTCTCTCCTCTCTGGGCCTCCCCTGTGCATCATGAGAAGTTGCGCTCGATGCTTCCAGACCCTCTAGACTCAACCCAGGCTCCCTGGCCATGTTCCTCTCCCAGCCACAGAGAGGTGGACCAGACATGTGGCTGAAAAGCTTCAAAACTGCGTTCCCAAAATATCTGAGCGACTGGCAGATGGAGATGTTGTATGCAGGCGCGGGAGGAGAACAAATTGGAAATAAAATGAAAGATGCCAGAGAGAACATAAACAGCGTTGGAGGACAGGATGGAGCCTGGAGGTGCTTTTCGGCTTCCCTATTTCTGAAGCTCTTGGTCCGATCAGCTAAGATGCACTTGTTTGTTCAGTCCATCCAGTCAGGCAACAAGCATTTACTCAGCATCTGTTATGTGCCAAGCACTGGGTCAGGTGCTAGTCCAATCTGTCATAGTGACTTGGATGGACACCTTTAGAATCTGGACATCCCTTGAAGACTACAGATGCTCACAAATCTCTTTTTCCGCTTGGACTGATACTCAACCTGATTAAAAGTACCCACATGTTTGGCATTACACAGTTCACATCTCAGAGGAAGTGAAACTAGATGAACAAAAGTCCCACCACCAGCTGGTCTCCCGAGCTTGCCAGACAAAATGAGAGGCACAGAGCATGTCCCCATCAGCAGCAAAGAGGTCAATGGCTTTCATACCCCAAATCCTCCTTCCCGCAGCCCAGATCCCCTCTCTGAAACTGAGGGGAAAAAAAGGTCCTGGGATTGCGTTCAAGGAAGTTCAGAGCAGTGTTACTTACAGCCAGGGAGGAGTCTGGGCAGGAAAAGGCCCCAGAATTTCAACTTCATCCTCACTCGACTGGCAACAGCTGGACTCATAGCACTTCTGACAGCAGTGCCGGCAAGTCCATCTGCACAGCAGCAGATCGGAGATTCTAGAAAGAAAACCCTGAGGCCATTGGGGGAGAAGGATGGGGGAGGGGGAAAGAGGGGACACGGGAAGGGTGGAGAGGAGGGAGAGGAAAAACACCCGAATTACAAGCAGCCCATCCCTGGTGAGAAATAACGACATTCAGGAGGTCTGTCTCCGCTGTCGACACTTGGAACAAAATGTTTCCCGTTTCTATTTACCAACTGCAGGCTCGAAGATGGCAAACACCAACTCGCCTGAGCCATTAATAGCGAGCAAAACATTTGCAGGTAGTTTCCTTTGTAGTTTATGGGAATGTCTTTCTTGACATGTGGGCGGCATACCCAACATGGTGAGGGCTATACAAAATGTTCCCGAAACACAATGAATATTAGTCTGTCTTCTTGAAAGCAAAGCAAAATAGTTTTTTTAAAAAAAGACCATCTCAGTGACATGAAAGTGAACAGAGATAATCAAACGGAATAAGCAGGGGGTGGGGAGGGAAACCTATCTTGTCATCTACTGTCTTTTCCCTGGGATCTCCCTGCCACAGAAAGGCATCGAAACTGCGCCCTTATCAACATCCGGCTACTATTTAATATTCAATAGTCCCCACAGCCTCGCATAAGACTCCAAAACCAAAAGCAAGCATTTCTTGATCAGAAGCCAGACCAAACAAATCATTGAATTAACCCACCTCATTTAAAGGTTCCAACTGCCCTTTTAGAGATCCAAGACGAAGCCACGGGGTGGAGCGGGTGGGGGTGACAAAAAAGAGAGAGACAAGACCAGTTTAGCAATATTCTAGCAACTCAAAAAAGAAAAAAGAAAAAAAAGCCCTGGATCTTTCCACTTACCATCCTGGGAAGGGAGCTGACTTCCTAACAAGGTGTTGCTATCTTCAGGGCGGCTGGTAGCCTCCTGGCTAACCAACACCGAATAAATGGGAAACTTTAGCATTTCGGTTTGATTTGCACCGTATGCTGTTATGAATCAGAGCGGGTGGATAGATAGTCATGCTATCCAATGCAGCCACACTTCAGAAGAGCAAACCTTCCTATACAGAAATAGCCATGAAGCCAACCCAAAAAGACACGATTAGCTAACATGCAGGCAGGCACCGAGTGGATGTGACTTGGCTCCCCCACCCTCCTAGAGGCCCTACCTCCCAATTCTGCTCCAATGGCGATGGTGGGGAGCTTCATATGACCACCCACAAACAGAGGGAGCCTAAAAGGAAGCCATAATCTGGTCCTTGGAGGGGGGATGGGCTGCCTCCTTTCTTTGCCCCCCCACCCCCACCCCCATCTTCTTCTCACAGGTTCCCAAGAGACAGGCTCCTTCCCCTCTTCCAGGGAAAAGTCTTGATGGCTTTCCAAATGGGTTAAGTAAACTAGGTAGGTTAGAAGGAGTCCCACATCCTAGCCTGGGACATGTCCCAGAGGTGAGCTGAGGCAAAACTCGAACTCAGAAATTTGAACCAAGAGAAGAAAATTAATTCTTTTTCAAATCTCTTCCAATGAGGAGAAATACTCAACTTGGTACCGTTCTATGTTAACATCTTTCTGATACATGCAAATTTCCCCTGCTCTTTCTTTTTTAAACAGAGAGAAGACCCTCAGCTCAGAGCTTTGCAGAGAGCTCTTTCCAGCTAGAATCTAAGCATATGGCATTATTTTCATTGTGTTTCTTTCTTCCAATTGCCTTCTGTATATAGCCAGTGACCCTGGTTTTCTATTATGGTACTGACATAAAGTTTCCCCTTCATACGAGTTTTTAAAGTAAAATGAGTGCCAGTCCATTTATAGAAAAAATATTAAGTAAATAACAGTACAGGTGGTTCATAGCTCGTGAAAAGTTCAGAATCCTTGCAGTGATAAGGATATGGCTGCAGCCTGGAAAACAAAGTCTTGGGTATGAATCATAAACTCTTCCAAAAGCAAAATCAAACCAGAACAAGACCTGCTGCTGGGGCCATGCAAAGAGCTGAGTAGAGAAGTCTAGTCCTGGCCTCTCCACTAACCAGTCATGTGCCAGGCAAGTCAAGGGGCCACTCTGAGGCTCAGTTACCTCTTTTCTTTAGTGTAAAGACTAAGCTAGGACACTGTGAAAATGCTTGTGTTCCCAGCTGCAAAATATCCCCCCCTTTTCTGTGGCGTATGAGAACACGGTGGTTTGTCAAGACTAGCTGGAACCTACCAGGTACCAGGGACTATGCTGGTGAGCAAAGTAGCAAAAGGCTACCTCCTCGTGGGGCTTACAAGAGCAAGTGCTCTAAAATGCTTCCAATAAAGTGCAAGAATAAAGTGATGCTTTTTCACAATCCATGCCCATTATCTTCATTTAGGGAAACGTTTCCTCAGTATGTGGTGATCAGAGAACCATTTATGAAACCATGATGAGCAGAGATAAGGCCACTTCAAGGTCCCTGCTAAGGAACAACCATCCAGCCTTCTCAAGACCAAGGTGCAAGAAAAATGCCAGGGAGCAAGGAGAAGCCAAGAAAGAGGAAAGGGAAGATGATACCAGGCGCGCTTTGCGAGCCTTTCCTCACACTGCGTCCACTGGGTTCATGTGTTTCACCCAATGTGGGAAAACTGACTCAAGCCAGAAAGAAACCGGATGAAAGCCAACCGAGACATTTTACATCATCAGGGCTGAGAAATCCAGCCTGCAGCCTGTCCTTGTTCGGCACTTCTGCTGAGAAAGGTTTGTAAACTTTTGAATGTTTTAAAAAAAGTCAAAAGAAGATTAATACTTCTTGACTCATGCAAAGTGTATGAAATTTAAATTCAGTGCCCACAGATAAAGTTTTATTGGAACACAGCCACGCCCATTCATTTACTATTGTCTATAGCTGTTCAGCACCATAGTCAGAGTAGAATAGTTGAGACACAGACATTGCAGCCCTCAAAGAAAAAAATATTTACTACCTAGCCCTTTACAGAAAAAGTTTAACAACTTGTTTTAGAAGTTAAGCCAACATCACCAGGTCATCCTCATACTGGATGCTTAACAAATACTCCACTGATCCCCACCATCCCCCTTTTAGATCTCACCAAGACCCCTTAAGCAGCTGTGTGGCTTTGGACAAGTCACTTAATTTCTCTGTGCTGAAGGTGGTCATTAAGAACTGTAGAAGCCTGTTCAAATGTTCTTAGTGTCTCAACAGATTTGCATTCTGAGAGGCAGGGGCCATGCTGTTTTCACAGCTGTGCCCCCAGTGCCCACAGATAGCAGAGTGACTACTGAATAGTCCCCCTAACAATACCCAGCACACAGCGAGGATAAATGTGACCTTCAATGAACTTGAAAGGATGACCTAGGGATTCCATGAAAGGGAAGCCAATGGAGCTAATCTAAGCCAGGAGAGTGATGAGGAGGATAGCCAGGTGACAGAGCAGAGTTCCTGGCCCACTGAAAAGTCTGAGGACAAGATGAGGGGATGCGTGAGTCAGAAGGAAACTAGGGGACCAGCAGCCCCCCAAACTGTGGCCCAGGAGATGAGTAGTGAGACCAGATGCACCCTGGATGTGGAAGCCTGTAGGCTTCTCTGGGCGGCTCAGAGGAGTCAGTCCCAGAAGCAAGCAGCTCAAAGGGTCTGACTGCATGACCTTGGCACTGACCTGTCACCGCTTCCAGCCTTGTATGAAGGAGAAAGGTCTCTTAGGCAAGCAGCCCAACCCCACCCCCCAAAAAAATCATGCGTGGAAATTATTTCAGTCCGAGGATTCTTGGGGGAGTTTCCCCAAAATGATGGGGGTGCACAACTTCCAACCCCAAGACAATGGCCTAAACAATCGACGCCC